GTTTCCACGAGGAGATAGAACCTTGCGATGGCACGTCGTCGTCCCGTCGTCACTCGCGTCGCCCATTATCCGCGTCTGCTTGCGCGGTTAATGGGATCGCGAACTGCGCCCGATCGCAGCGCTCGATCCTTCCGCGCGCGGTTGTCTTCGTCTCCGGTTCTCCAACGACTGAACTTGATGGCGATTGCGTCATCGAGTTGTGACCAGGCTGTTTCTACATCTGGACGGCTCGACGACGGCTACGCTTTTAGCCCCTAAGCTCTCTTACTCTCGTTTTCTACCTTGCATCTCTCTCTCTCTCTCTCTCTCTATCTTCCTCCCTTCTTGGTCTCGCGCGAGCGCGTAGTCTCCTTCTCGCTTCCTTCCTTCGGCAAATCGTGCAGAACGCTGGAGGAATACGCTTGGTGACTAGCATACAATAGAAGAGAGTGATAGGCAGTTTTCTGAGGGATCCAAAGTAGTTGCAACGTGCGACAGCTGTCACGACGTCCTTATGAGAGAGAGGCTCGGCTCGATAAGAGCCAAGAATAAACGCACGGTCACAAACGCTGGGAAATGTACCTGTATCGACGAGCTCGCAAATACCTGGACGAAATGATACTCCGGGTACCGCGCACGTACGTTCTTCGATTATGGCTGCACCGGTGGCAATCAAACTGTAATGTCGAATCATTCGTTTCTGAAAACGTATTTAATGTGTACCCTGAAGTATTACGTTAATACAAAAAATACGAAATATGTATATTGAACATAGAATTTATTAAAACAATTGTTCTGTCCGTGGTTGACCTCCGTCTTTCGGACCTTGTTAAGTTTTCACGTGTGTGCCGACTAATACAAACTCGAAGGACCACCTTCTTAGAAGGAACACCAATTGAACACTAATTAGAAATAATTTTTCGTATGGTGTTTATTAAAAATCAATACTTACTACAGTAACATTCTAAGGACAATTCTAATGATGAAAGGTTCCTTTAAAGTTCTTCTGACGCTCCGCGCGGTTTTTTGTTCTTAAATACTAAGATTGTCGATGAAACGTAACTAAAACTAACCAATCGGTTGACGTGCCTTCTCGGGGGTTGAATTTCCAAAATTCTCCAAGTCCAGGTTACCACCCATCAGTCGGGGTGCAAACTGGAGCCACGTAAATGGAAAACTTCCTCACACCCGACCTGATACCGTGCCCAGGTATGAAGGCCGTCAACTGATCGCGCGATTTGAAAGATTTATGACACGTCAATCGCAATTGAGGACGACGGAGCAGGGCCCTGGTAAGAGCCCCTAATTTGGCTTCAAATTCGTAATTATTCTTTAGTTACAATTATTAACAAGCGAATTGAAAATAGCTATTCTCAAAAATAGCGGTGTTTGCAAGCGACCATATCATAAATATGGCCAAGTTCCTAACAATAATAGTCGAATAATAGAAGTAATGTTGGATGTGGGCAATAGTATGACTTAACATCAAGTAACTTTTGATTTGAATTTTTTTGGACATGCTTTCTACAAGTTTTCTGCATTGTACAAAACTAATTTCGTTCCATTTTCCCATAATAATGAAGAATTTTAATTTGTTATTTTAAAATCGACAACTTCTTATTTTAATTGTATATTATAGTATGTGGCCATTCTAGGACATCAATTTGGAAGCCATGTTTTGGTACAAATTGTATGACCCGAGAAGTTTATATTTGGGTTTCTTATTGTGCTGAAAGATAGCAGTTTAGTCCCTTTGGTCTTGATTGTTGCATCTCATCATGGAAGTGTTTTAAAATATTTACATAATCCTTTGTAATCCTTTGCAATCATCCGTCCATTTATTCGACGAACGAAACTTACACCTAGCACAATCATACAACGCCACAACATAATAACTCGATTCAATTTTTGATTCTGTCTTTTCCTGATTTATTCTCTTCCACTTGACCCAAGTCTATTTATGTTACTTTCATCTGACCAAATTTTAAACATATCTTTTAATATTAATATGAGTTATAAAGTATTGCTTTTAAAATATGATATTGTCGATTTAGGCAGAAATCGATATATCGTTTAACATGTTAATATCTTTCGATGTTTGGTTCTCATATTAATTATTTTTTTTTTTATTGATCACTTTTAAAGCCTCGATGAAGGTTTATTTCAGCTTACATAAGTATAACAACATATGCATGTGTAGGTTCACGAGTGTATGAATTACATTAATCTGCGTTTATTATAGGTAGTTTCTAACTTCTCTAACTACATATATGTCTTTAAATACGTAAGATAAATTCTTTTAGAAAAGAGAAGACTTAAGGCACCGTAGTGTTTAGTTTTGCAATTAACGCTTCCATGTTGACTGGTAGTTGCAATTTAATTTTTTGCGGATTCTTAACTAATTTTGCTCTTTGATGGGTATAGAGTTTACATAGCCATGATAACATGGTTAACATGGTTTCTACCATGTATCTACTACATGACTATGTATACTATTAAAAGAGTAAAAGGGACTGTTAAGTTGTAACGATCAACACTAATGTTATTTATTATGACTATAAATTCTCTGATTCATTTTCTCTGGTAGACCGTGACACAGTGGCATTCAAAGGACACTGTTAAGTCATAGAGGGGTTTACTGACCCAAGAGCGAACAGCATATGCTATACACCGTTGGAAAGGTCTCGCCAAGGCGAATCGACTGATACCATTTTTAACTTCGATATCAGATGGGATAATGTCGAAAAATGGTCTCAAAGTTCGAGATTTTGCGGTTTTGAACAAAAGAAACCGGTAGTAAAAGCCCATCCGGCCCGAGGGACCTCGGGTAGGCACCTGAGGAAAAACCGAGGGGTGTAAGCGATACTCTAGCAGATTGGGACGGCAAATGTGCCCCACCACCTTCATTTCAGTGCCGTGTTGGGCCTGCGTTTGCCGCATGGGCCCCGTTCCAAATGCCCAGGGCGAAATCGCCAATGGATCAGTTGTTTTTCATGAACATAATATATTCATGATAGACGATTCGTAGGTATGAGTTGGGAATGTGCAGGTTTGTATTCAGTATTCACATCATTATGTTTCGTTCAATCAATAAAATGTCACTCCATTCACTATTGTAAGTGACGCATTAGTCTGAATACTAACCTGCACATTCCCAACTTATACCTGCGAATTGTCTACCATGAATATATTATGTTCATGAAAAACAACTGATCCATTGGCGACTTCGCCCTGGGCATTTGGAACGGGGCGCATGCGGCAAACGCAGGCCCAACACGGCACTGAAATGAAGGTGGTGGGGCACATTTGCCGTCCCAATCTGCTAGAGTATCGCTTACACCCCTCGGTTTTTCCTCAGGTGCCTACCCGAGGTCCCTCGGGCCGGATGGGCTTTTACTACCGGTTTCTTTTGTTCAAAACCGCAAAATCTCGAACTTTGAGTCCATTTTTCGACATTATCCCATCTGATATCGAAGTTAAAAATGGTATCAGTCGATTTGCCTTGGCGAGACCTTTCCAACGGTGTATAGCATATGCTGTACGCTCTTGGGTCAGTAAACCCCTCTATGACTTAACATTGTCCTTTAACAAAATAATATTTCCATTCATTACAATACATGTACACAAAATGACTTGCATGTTCTCCAGACATTAGTTCTATTTAAAATGCATGCTGAACACTCGTCGGTGCTTCCTACGAAAATAATAAAACATTTTATCGAGAGTGTTTCGATGAATTTTCCAAATAGTTCATTGCAACGAATTAAAAATTGTTTTCATTCTAATATATTGTATAACGTTCTATTTTGGCGAAAAATTAATGTATTCCTCCTATAAAGCATCCTGAAAGGATCATTAGTGGCCTGTCAAGTGCACAAAGCTGTCAAATGATCGGTGTCACTTTTCGATTACGTCTTTTGATCGTAAATTTTGAGAACGCATAAAACCCGTATCCTTATAAATTGCCCAAGGACGTGGACTTTCGTTCGTACAAGAAAATAAGTATCCGCTCTAAAGAGATTATGAAAGGGATCAGAGATATGTATGTAGAGGCACGGTAAATCTAAGGTAAACCTAGCGCGTGGTTTTATGTTTCGTTCGAATACTGCATCTACGCTCCCCATTACGTTTAAATTACACAATAACATCAAATTGCTTTGTTTTTTTGTATCGCGTACTCTAATCCAAACTAAAGACGATCTCATCACATACTCGAGAGGTGATTAAAAACACGTTTTTTATGAAAATGAACCCATATTTCGTTTAGTTTCTATCCCATTAACATTGTGAAACATCTTCGACTTAAAATAGTTTTTCAGAAAGTTCTATCAATCAGGGATGGAGGAAGTTATTATTCTGTTCCCTTATTGTATAAAATAAGGGAACAATAATAAAATATTCGAGTGTTAAACATGATATTCTAGTCTTATCAAAAGTAATGTCTGATGTGGAGATTAAACTATAATCGTTCGCGGCGCAGTTACTCTTTATATTTAAAAATTCCAATTGACTGAATGTTAATTGACTTAAGTGCACCGAATACAAAGATTTTTTTATAATCTAAGCATTTTGCAGCATTTTTTACAGTAAAGCTTTGTCTGTTGCAATGATAAAAATACCCCATTTTCGTAAAAAATGAGGAGATAAATGATGTCAATCAAGGGTGTGTAATCAATGTATTAAGGTTTCATTGTCGCATTTAGTTGTCATAATTGATTTTTCTCGATGATCTCAAAGTCCCAAAACTGAAGACTCTGTGTCGATAAAATTGAGTTTGTAAACTCTCGAAGAATTTGCAAACAATTCGACACATTTTTTGTACTGGGCAATTTAAATCTAATAACAGTTGATCCTAGAAAATTCAATGCATCTAGATGATAAATTATAATGTGTTCATAGAAGGTTAATGAAAAGAAATATTTAAATTATTTTCAACTTTTTCAGAAATGCTAGAGTCAAAAAAATCTGAAAAACATCTTTTCATCGATATTACTATTAATTCTGATAATATTTTGTTGCAGGTGAAAAACCGTACCAGTGCACATGGGAGGGCTGTACGTGGAAATTCGCGCGTTCCGACGAATTGACGCGGCACTATCGCAAGCACACGGGTCAGAAACCGTTCAAGTGCCATCTTTGTCAGCGATCGTTCTCGCGGAGCGATCATCTGTCGCTTCACATGAAAAGGCATTGATAAAGAGGGCCGTCTAGCCGATAGGGAGGGAGACGAGGAAGAAGAAGAAGCGAAAGGGGATGAAAAATCACTGTTGTTCCGGGAAATCGGGACTAAAACGGTGATCGTAGACGAAGACGATGATTCTTTTTTATATTCGGGACCTGAAAAGCCTCATCTCGACTCTCGGATCGTCTCGATCGAACGGGAGTCGGAGGCGGAAACTAGGAGAAAAAGAAACGAAGAAACAAACAAATCGTTCATTAGGTTTAGAGGTCTAACGAAAGTGTCTCTATAATTATTGGTGGATGATCGTGCGAACCTGCCAGCAGTCGCGATGTACGAATCGTTGAAAAATGTATTTTTGTTTTCTTTGTTGCATAGATTCTATTAAAAGTCGATCTATCGTGAAATCTGTTGAACGGAGTTAGGGCATAAGAGTTGTTGATATTTGAAATTTTTCTGTGAAAATTTATTTATTCTGTCGTCGAATCGACATTTCTTGTAATAAGCGCGTTCGAGGCGGACATTTGAAAAGCTGAGCTTCGAGGAAGTCTGCACGAGCAACTGCTGGCAGGTTCGACGTGACCAGCACGCGACATCGCGTAATTTCTGTTTTTAATTCTAGCCAATTTTTACTCGTTCGTATTTCCAGTTTGTTTTCTCTCTCTCTTTTTTTTTGTACGATTAAATAAGGCCAGCTCAACTAGTCTAGAGCATCATGTATCGTCTATTGCGAAGAATAGAGCCAGTAAAGGGGAAAGAAGTAATATCGTTAAGGTAATTAAATGGTTAAATAAGTAAAGAGAATATCGAACTCCGGTGACGGAGCTTGGGACTTAGCATGCTCAGTTAAATAAACTACAATCGTGATCGTGAACATTTTGTAAAGCATTGAATAGCGATTTTTCGAGATTATGCACAAAGAATTTCGCGTTTAGGGACGGACAATCATTAACAACGTTCTCATTGTCAACGGAAACAAGGGAATCAGACGCTCTAAAAGCCAGTATTACGTGTCCATTAAGCAATACGTTAATGTGTATACCGTCGACGGCATTTTACGATGCTTTCTTCGAAAGTCTTTGTGTTTTCTTTTTTAGTCGCGAACAATTCTTCGATCGTACCGTCCGATCGGTGCGCTCTTTTGTCCACAACAAGGTGCCAAAGTAGAAGGTGCAAATGTACGGGATTGTCCATCGATACATTGCGCTCAAACGTGGAAAGATGAAAGTAGATCGAAGAATTATTTTTTTAAACGCTTTTGCATCGCGTTCGTCGAACGTTACAGACTTGATTCGTGCACATTTTATTTTGGCATCTGCAACGAAACGGTAGCTCAAGGTACGCTCGAAAAGCGAACGAGAAATTTCTTTAAAACGCAAGAACGTACGCCTACGTTCCTCGTGGTTTCGAAACTGTAAATAGAAGAGTCTTATCAGGGTTCGATTATCATTGACGCATCGTGTCGGCTATTCAATTATCGTCAAACTAAGTTAGATGAAACGCGGCTCCGAAAGCGACGGTATAAAATGCGAATTCTATATATCGAGACATATCGAAATCGAACGAAGACATCGACTCTGGTGCGTTAAAGAGCGAAACGAGGCTGGAGGCCGCGCGATGCATTCCTTGATGCTACTACGGCCGGATCAAAGTCAACTGAACGCTCAAGACAATTTCTCTATTTTGTTTCGTAGAGAAATCTCTATTCGAAATGACGATGATTGAATAATGACGCGATGGGGCGATTTGGAGACGATCCATCGGTGTCCTTGAGCGAGCAACTGATTTTGCGTCGACCTTACTCGCGGGGAAAACTGAACAGGTAATGGAAATTTATAAAAAAATTGGACATCACTGCTTCATTTTTCCTCGAGACGACTCGAACGAAGCGTTTCTCGCAACCTTGGCCGAACGTATCGCAGGAAAGTCGAGTACGCTAATCGCGTCGCGATGTATTGTAAATAATTTAGAAACCTTGAGAAGTACGACGTTTCCGTATACAGCACGTGTATAGCATCCCCTCACCCCGTTTTCTTCGAACCTGTATTTTCGCCGCTAAGTAACGCGACTAACGGTAGCCGCAAAGAGCAGAAACTATTTCGAAGCTAGTTAAAACGATGGAACAAGATGCCAGTATATGCTAGAGCCAGTTTATATCATTAAAGAGAAACCTCTACGTGTAAGATTAATGCGAAGATTGATAAATTAATATTTGTTACGTGTTGTATTTTCATAGGGAATAGTGCCTTTTAATGTTAAGAGAGAGGACGCTGCGTTAGGCCTTAAGTATACTGCTAGTGCCTTAAGTCACGCGAATCTTCGTGCTTGTGCACATTTCATAACGCGACCCCTTCGAATCCTCGTCCAGGAGGACCAATGAGATATATCCAACCGTTGCTATATTCGGTCGAGAGCCATGGTTACGCTTCGGTCTGGTCGAAAACAAATGTACCCTTTCGCTTACTTTTCTCCGTCGAATTTCATTTATCGAGAACCGCGGTTACACGATGATTCCACTTGAAAAAATTGCCGTTTCTGTTCCACCTCGAGTTCTACAGCTGCGCGATGTTGATCCAAACCGATCATTCGATCGTCGTAGTCTCCGAGCGATACGCGTCGAAATCTCGAAAGGACCGACCGCGCCTCCGGGGATGTATGAATAATTTTCGTACGATCGTCACTGTGAAATTCAATCCGAAAATGTACGAGGTGCCACCCAGGATGCCATTCTACGATCTTGATGACTGATACCGTTGTACCTTAGGGAATTTCTTCAGCGGGGCAGCCGTCAGTAATCTGAGCACGGCGCGGGCGATGAGAAATGTATACTGACGTCATGCCGACACCCTCTTTGATTATTATCATTTTTTCCCCCGAGAGCTCGCGCCGGATCGTGAACATCTCGAAGCTACGGCATTGCCTCTCCGTCGAGACGATTCCTAATTGTCGACGCGGCGATGAAACGAAACCGTGACTAGTTGTCTTCTCTGCTTCGAATAACTGCAACCAGTGTGAACACCTCGTCGTAGAATTTCGTTTTGGGCCGAACTGACTGGATTTCTGTCGACCTCGATCAGACAAGACGGCCGAAGACTTAAATATACGCGAATAGTACGCGGTCTAGGGGGCACGGACGTAACAATTTATCGTACGACAACGGCTGTACAATAATTGTTGGAACAATTGGTATCACCGATAGTTGTATAGCTCGAGAAACTCGATAAGATCCCTGAAGGAGTGGCTCGAGTAGCAATGGTAAGGACGAGGCCAGGTATCGGGAGTACTATTTAAAAGAAACACGATTGCGGACAGCAGAAAGGGATCTTATTTAACTTGTCGAGTTATACAAATTATTCGCGGAGCGCTCACGTTTATGGTCCCTATTACGCCGATCGCCATCCTCGACCCGAGAAGTTTCATCGTTCGATTCCAACTACATTCCAAACTCCGTAATGGCCGCGCGACTGTCGTTAAATTATCGTGAAATCGTTGTTACCGAAGGCGAACCCGGAAAATGGAGAATTTCCCGGGAACAAGCACGGCTACGACCTCTCCATCGACGGTTCTCAAGGCTAACGACGAACGGAACATTCCTCGTGCACAGACATTCCTTGGCCGCGACGAGAAGAAGAGATTCGTGAAAAGTTGACGCGCGCAACGGCTATTTGTGTTCCATGTTAATGCGAGCCTATTCAATTTCCCGTAGAAGGCAAACCATCAATGGACTGGGAAACAGGCAACGGAGCTCTATACCGAACGCGACCGATTTTCTACGAAGGCCCCACCTAGGGAAATTAGCATTTCAAGTGCCTTAACAGACGACAACTGACAACCAACTAATCGAGGCTTCGCATTTGGATCGAAATCACCTTCCGCGAACGAGCGGTGCACGCTCGCGACTGGCGAGAATTTAGTAGTCGGCACACTTTGGATTAAAATCGGGCCGGGGGAGGGGGGCAAATAGGTTAGCGCGTTATTTGCGCTCGCGGTAATCGACGTCGGAACACGCGATACATTTCCTTTCGTTGCTCCTGGAAAATTTCGTTGTTCTTCGACTTCTATGAACCCGTTTGGTACCAAATTGTTGTTTTTTCAAGATTTATATTTATTTTCGAAAATACTTTGTTAAGCAGAAACTTTTGTTTAAGGTCACAACGTGTCCTGTAAGTAAGAACGTACGGTGGAAAGCGACTCTTTAACTCTTTGTGGCACAGGATTTCAGAAATTTTATTCCGTTTTAAATTAAATAAAATTGGTATATTTGTATTAATAAAGGTATCACATAATGTAGAAACATAAAGAACATAAAAAAAGATTGTCGCAATAAACCTTCCGCTTACAACAATTGATGAACCTACATTAGCATATTGAATGTTGCCAACACAAGTGAATACATTTGTAACATTTGTTGAAGATAGTACCAATTGTTTTACGTAAATAAGACGAAAAATAAACCTATGCGCATGCAGCTATTGCAATATTTCGAGGTGAGACTAAAAATGTCCCACCATCCATTGCGGTGCATAAAAAAAATGGAACACTTTTAATCCCAGCGTGCCCCAAAGAGTTAAACAATTTTAGCGAGGAATTGTAATAATGAATTAATATTATTAATTAAAGTCTGAGAGTATTCGAGTCTAAAAAACCAAGTAAATTATTGTTGAATATAACGTTTCTTTTATTCGTAATATATTGTAAAAATGTTACGCTTTATTTGGGTCTCGACTACCAATTTTTTTGAGTGTCCTCTGAAGAAGATACTGGTACATAATGAGTTTAATAAACGCTTCCTCTTTTTTCAATGGAACAAACAACCGATGGAAATGTATAAAAATGACTAAAAAAGACGTAAAGAGCGTGTACGTCTTTAAAAGTTGCAGTCCCACAACTTCGATCGTTTTAATCACTGTTGCTCGATCGTTTGATGGGTATCGACGTACCTGAATTCGTTGTAAAGATTCTCGATTTCTCATTCTCGTGCGCTTACACGGCTGTCGAAAAAGAATTCCACGGAAGCGTATTCATAATTTTAGGGAAACATTAGAGAAACTTTTACGGCTGTATGAAAGCGAACCTTCAAAAAGAAGTATTTAGAAAAAAAAAGAAAAATCAACAAAAAAAAAGTGAATGAATAAACGCGATGTATCGAGCTTTTCGAAGACGAAGCTGACAGATCAGTCCGTCGGAGTAGCGATAATTTTCCATTCTTCGTTTCAAGGGCCAGTAAAGATACACACACAGACACGCACACACGCATACACACATGCATCAGTCACTCACAGGCATACCTTATCAAGCAACTGCAATAAATTGCGTCTTTAATCTGCGATCATGCGCGGTGCTCAATCTTTCTTGGTGCTTTCGTACGTTGAATTTCGATGTGCGTAGATATACATCAACGTGGACAATATGAGGAGATCGGTTCTTAAAGATCCATTACGCAGAAGCGCAGAAATGCATCGCTGCAGAAGGTGTGCGCGCGTTTGCGTCCAACGAGATATAAGGCTACACGGAAGACGAGATAAAACGTTCAATAAAATTCACTTAATTCGGAAAGCAAAAAAACTTTACGTCGGTTTTCTCATTCGCCGACGTTCCAGGACCAATCGTAAATTTATTTCCTAGGCGATAATTACCGCGTATCAACGATCGACCGATTCCTTTCGTCCAGTTTGCACCGTTTCGAAGCAACAATTGCATATTTCGTGTGGTCCAATGTCTCAGGTGGCGGAAACCAACGCGACTAGTGATTCTTGACTCCGAGACAGAAATTCTCGTAATGACACTAAACGGAACTACTAGGTCGTAAGGTAGACACTTAGCCAAGTAATGAACTACTGTAAATAGTATGTAAAGGTAAATTCCGTTGATCATCGTCGGTGAGACGATCCGCGCGGATCAACGTAGCATAATTCTTTCGCAATAATGTAATCAATGGGGGCCAGTAATTCTCTCTCGGATCTCGCACGGATTTAGACACTGCGAGGCGCGTGGCGTGCCCTTGGTGCTGAATTTCGGCATGGGTTCGTCCTCGTGGTGCGTCGCGTTGTTCTTTTCACGCGCGAAAAGAGCGCCGCTTCGCACGGAAGGGTTTTCAGGTTCCTAGAGCAGAGCACGAACTGCGTCGAACGAGAACACGGAGAATTCGGTGTTTTTTTTCTGATCGGCGTGTTTTGGTTGGACGCGGTAGGCGCGCGAACGAACGTTCAAACCGTGGACATCAACCGTCGCCGAAGTTCAGAAGAAAAGGACGAATTATAAAGTCGCGCGCCACTAACTATTACTTTTTAAGGATAAACTGTATATGTCGCGTAGGTTTTTTGCGTAGGATCGATAATAATATATTGTTATGACTCACTGTATAAACGAAGGCATTACTATAAAAAACTTTGTACTTTCTAATTACTTTAACCGCGTCGCTTGAGGACGGTGTCGCCATTCGTATCGCGCGCACGTCGCCAAGGGAGGTTCGTTAGTGCATTAAAAGAAAAAAAAATATATATAAATAAAAAATCTATATATATATACATACATATATATGTATATTGTAAATGTGGTTGTAATCTTATTACTGTTATATCGATATATCGATGTCCTTGATTTGGATAATTTATTTATTGCGATCGAACGAAAACGGAGAGCGTGTAATTATTGTATCCCGCGGAACATGTGGAAAAGAATTAAGGGCGATAGCGAATTATATTACGAAATGCGCACGAAATTATATATTTATACACGTTATAGGCGCGAGGACGCGTCTCGGAGACGGGCGTTCCGACGCCGCGATGAAAGTCCTACAGAGAAAAAAAAATGACGTTTTGCGACGGCAGGGCTCAGCGCATATTTAATATTGTACTTTGCGAATTCCTACTGTGGAAGTAAAAATTATTATTGTATCGTAAAGGGCGATCCGCGTCCCGATTGTCGTTAATAAAATTATATCGTCGAGTCGCGGCGATGCGCGCACGGTGCGTCACGTTCGTCCTGTGTGGTACAACAACTCGCCTGTCGATAATCTTATTATCGAAATGATGGTTACATATTTTAGATAATACTATTATCATTATCATTATTATGATTCTTATTATAATTGCTACTATTACTATTATTATTGTATTTGGCAGGGTTACGACATTAAAATCGTAAAAACAAATACGTTCACGCATTTCGTTCGCGTCCTAACTCCGCTCCTTGCGCTCCTTAAAAGGGTATAAAAATCTGAAATTCGAACAATTTCTTTCCCATGAATTTTTTACCTGAAACCTTAAAAATAATATACAAGTGGCCCCTTATCGAAATTCACATTAATATGCAAATTATAGCCTGTTGTCGCCAACGGTACACACGATCGGATATTATGAAACTTTAAACATAATCTTTTTTAAAACGGTAAACACGATAACTGCTCGACCGATTAATTTCAAATTTGATCGAAATATTGTTTATAACATTCTGTATCGGATCGCGATCGGTTTTAAAAAATATCTGACGCTATTTATTACGAAAACAGGCGAAACGTTTTTAAAAAAACTTTGCACCGTTAATGCATGGTTCTCGAATAAAATAAAAAGGAAGTATGAATTATAAGAAAAAAAATTTTTGTTTAACCTCAGACAATTTATACAGATGCCCCATCATGTAAACGTGCAAGGAGTACAAAGCTTCGATCGTTAATATTTTTGGACGTCCAATGCGTAAGTATGTTAATCAAATATTTTCTCCAAATGCCGACTATAAATAAACAGTATAATTTTGCAATTCATAGTCTGTTGATGCCCTTAAAACAATATCAAATTTTATAACTTTACACAATACTATATCTACTTTCTTAAAGTCGTCTACATGTGGCACAGATACTTTTTTCAAAATTATATATAGCATATAAACTACCAAATGGTTTCATACCTAGATGAACTACTGTGACTTATATTGCAATTTTTTTGAATTATTTATCTATAGAATTTACATTTAAACAGTATTCTGTTAAATATTAATAAAATTTATTTATTGCATTTATAAACGGAACAGATGCTACAGTACGCTAATATTGGTATACACGAAGAACTTATTAAAATTAATGTAAATAACTATAGTTATATTAATGCTCCGTTAATGCAATAAATTTATCAAATTCGCGAAAAAGTCTATGGTTTTATTATGGTTATTCGTTATGTTGAAAGTTTTGTTAATGGGAATGACCCATTTATAGTGATAGGAACTAACTTAGTTCTGTTCCTTGTTGGCTGGAACAGAGAATGAGATCTAACTAATGTCGAAGGTGCATCCATAGAAATTTTACTAAGCAGCTCAGGATAAATGATCATACCATTTAAGATTTAAAATAAGAAGATTAGGTTTGAGGCCACTCTCTTGTGCCTAAGTCTATTGATACTTAGTTTCGCTATGATGTTGCCAATGTAGCTACGAAAACGCTTAGATTTCTCCTTAACACATTGACTGATACGTCACCCACATACGGATGACATGATTTCTCGCTTAGGAGCTAAAAAAATTAATTCTCAAGATTAGATGTTAAAGAAAATAAATCTAGACAAGACTCTTGAATTTTAAAGTGGCTGTAAGAATAAGTACAATCACTCCAAAAATCCTCGGTCTAATTTTTGATAACAAATACACTTGGACGCCATTCCTTAAAAAGCTCAAAGAAGAATGTGTCAATAGATTAAATATATTGAAGGTCATCGCTTCGAAAAACTGGGGGGCTGAATTCCAAATTCTAATTAATTCATATAAGGCCTTAGTTCTGTCTAAACTAGATTATGGATCAATCGTCTACGATTCTGCAAAACCACGCGTTCTAAAATTATTAGCACCTATACATAATGCCGGAGCTAGAATAGTCACTGGAGCTTTCCGAACGAGTCCGGTAAATGCAATTCTATGTGAAGCTGGTCTAATACCACTGGAAACTCGAAGAAAACAACTGAGCTTATCGTATGCAGCAACCAGATTATCAACGCTTTCAAATCCTATCTACGAGAAATTAACTAACATCGCCCATTTCAATGAATTTAAGGAAAAACCCAAACTTCCGGAACCGTTAAATAGTAGAGTCAAAACATACTGGCAAGAACTAAATATGGATACACCAAAAATCATATCAAGAATACAGTATCAAATTCCACCATGGACGATAGATCCTCCTTGCATACTCGATAAAATTCTGAAAGCAGGCAAACAAATCAACCCAAACGTTCTCAAAAGTCTATATACTGAATTATCGAATGAATACCCGTACCATACGCAAATCTTCACTGATGCTTCAAAATCAGGACAGGGGACTGGATGTGCGGTATGCACTCCCGAACATGAGATCCTATTCAGGCTCCCGGAAACATTCACAATATTCACTAGTGAAGCGTTAGCTGTTCTACAAGCCTTGAAGTACATAGAAGAAACAACACACAATAAATCCATCATTCTAACTGATTCTAAAAGCGTCCTACTCGCCCTACAAAATTTGGAAACAAACAACACTGTAATCCAAAACATTATTGAATTAAATGAAACACTTAAGCGAGACAAAAGAGAAGTGTTATATTCCTGGATTCCCTCCCATATTGGTATTGAAGGTAATGAAAAGGCTGATACAGCAGCAAAACTGGCTAGCTCCAGTACAGCTATAACGAAATATGAACAGGCAACTCATCAAGACATCCAAAAGCATTGCACCAAGGCGCAAACGGAAGTGTGGAATGAAGAATGGAGAAATAGCAGACCAACTAAGCTACATAAAGTTCGAAATAATATACATGACTTCAATCCGGCGCTACTACTAAATAGAAAAGACCAAGTGAAAATAACCCGACTAAGAATAGGACACTCGAACTGGACACACTCATACCTTATCACAAAAACCGAACCAAATTCCTGCGACACCTGTAACGTACGAAATAGTATTGAACACATCTTGACAATCTGCCCTAAATACAATATGAAGAGGATCCAACACAAGTTACAAAACTCACTAACGATCTTACGAGAAACAGATTCCTGCAGAAAAGTTTTAAACTTCTTAAAAGACATCAATGTATACCAATTGCTCTAAATATGATTAGCCCCACTAAGTAACCCAACTGTGGTCACTAATAACCTAAAAGGTGCATGTGACCTAAAACGCTCAATAAATGACAAATTGTGGGTAGTTTCCAATTGTCTAAAAACAAAATTTCGTTTTGGTGGACAATTTCAGGGGTTTGGTCTGGCAATCAACGTGTTAAGCAATCCAGAACACCAAGATAAATAAACTATAATACGTATCTATTATTTGACCTCCATCTTTTACTAAATTTAAATTTGTATTAAATAGGGTGCAAGGATAATTTTTATGAGGACAGCATAATTGTAATCCAATATTGATCGTGTTTAGCTCAAAAATTTTCGAGGATTATAGTAGATTAATAGGTGATCTTGTTTCGTGAAATAATAGATGACTTAATCATGTGCTCTTTCCTTGAGAAATTAATTAAATTTTACATTCCACTCGTTTAGGAGAATACCCATGTTTTGCAATGCAAAACCTTCGTCTCATTACAGCTCTTATTATCTAACTAATCACATTATATTTATAAACTCTGACGATTTTGTAGATTTCTTTCCTAGATCATTAACATCAATTATATCTCATTTACATAGGGCGCTAAACTTTGAAGTATATGATTAACTTAACGAGCTCAATTACCGGCGACAAGTATTATAATTGTATTCAAATTATTCCGACGTCTGCCTGTTTATCGTAAAAGAGCCAGTAGATCAAGCATACGTAACACGGTGTTTTGCATAACAATCACCTTTACATTACACAAACTTTCATCTTATAACATCACTGCGTTCTAGGATTTCTCAAGAAAGCCAAGTTTGCTATGCATATTTCTGAAACAAACATTGTATCGGAACTTTGGACCTTGTATTAGGAACTTTGATAAATTTTTACCGTTGCTCAATATTATTTAAAAACTTATTCTTCGCTAAAAATAAAATACTTCAAGATCTCTAATTTGACGTGGATCTTTTTCTAATATACAAATGACATTTCGCGTGCACCAACCTAATGAAATTTCTTCCTCTGCGATTGTACCAGTAATTACCAAACACCCTGTATACTAAACGTAAAATATCGTACACTATTACTGTCATGTACGAATTTTCCACCGACGATGTTCGGAAAGTTAAACCCGTATGATGGATATGCAATGCGGTGACTCGAAAAAATGAATACTTGTCGGTTTGTTGATGCTCCGAAAAATTCTTGTTGAATCCTTTATTTCTGAGCGAGCGTCGCTCTTTATACAGTTCTATTTGGGCGGTTACTAATATGCGAAAAACACTGATAGGTTACAAGATTTTGTAAGGCGTGAACGGCCAGCCCCTGCAAGAAGGGGTGGTGTGGGTGTCACCAAAATTTTCTGTTTTTGGCTGTGTCGATGGTCGCGCGAAAGTGCTATTGTATCCTTGAAGGTTGACCGTGGCGTGCAATAAAACTAGACTCCTAATTGCTGGAAAAAACGTTTGTAACGGGCTTGACGCACAACTGCTAGACATCTGGTGCGCAGGTATGGAAAGAACAAATTTTGTTATATGACGGTATTTACAAGGCTCTTTCTGAGTTGGGCTCGTTTGTTATTTGACGGTCATACGGAGGGCTCGCGATGCGACAATTACAGCTATTACAAAATTACATTTCTTCAAAACAATTGCAAACATAACCCCTTGATGTACAATGACGAGTTCTTGATGTCAAGTCCCACAACCATGAGGGTGTACTCACTCATCATTAAGCCTTCCTTATATATTAAAATTAACACATTTCTCACGAAGTATTCGTAAAACAAATTCTTTTTCGTGGTCATTTCTTGTACGAACAAATTTAAATAAAGTTAAATAGTATACGTTTGAAAAATTACTTGTAATTAAATCGTACGTCAAGGGGTTAATTTTTGCTACACCACTAGCAGGTGATTATTAGATTCGGTATTCCCCTCTTTGTTATCCGAGTCACACAGGAATGGATACAAGAGGCTCGCCTGATAGATTACAAATTAAAGAAAGTTTCCTCTAGGATTTATTGAGCTTCTAGACTCTAATACAACTCCTATAGAGATAATACAATAGTTTGATAGTATTTTTTATTACTGGTATGTGCGACAATGGACTAGATAGAAGCATCTAAAGCTTTTGATAACCTCCAGGAGAACAGGTTCAAAACGACCAACCTCCACATATTTTTAAATCGT